GCGCTCTGTGAGGTTGAGCCCATTGTGCGGTGCCAGGGCAGCATCCGCCTCAGAGCCACCGCGCTGCGCCCCGTCCCATGAAAACTGGTTTTGTAGGCCCTGACCTGCTGCCCAGTGAGCTTCAGAAAAGAAGCCTACCGTGGCTGCGTGTTGCCTGTGTTCACTTGAACAAGTTTTACACTCACGAAGGCTGGCGGCCCTGCTCCTTTCCATGCACATCCCGGTGCGAACTCCGCTCTTTCTCATCCGGCCCCTCCTTTGTCCCCACTTCCTTAGGGTCCAGTTCTTCATGTATCTGCTGACCCGTATCCGGTTCCTCGTGTAAGCCCTGGTCCACCTTGTCCAAGTTTTTGTGTGCTTCCTGTTCTATCCTGGAACTAGGCACGGAGGTTTTATCCGCATGTTGAGTACCCTTGTCTGTATTTATGTCCCTTAAGGTATTCAGACCTTTCACTATCAGCACCGCTGTCACTGCAGCAGCAGCAAGTGTGGCAATAGCTCCAGCTGTTGTTGCTATAATGAATGCGAAATACATTTCAGGAACGACACCAAGTCAACTGGGAGGTCACTATTGCCTCAACTCTAGTGTCTCTAAAGAACCTTTCTTGTCCATAGTTTGCAGAAGGCATGTTCTGTCTGGTTCAACACCTCCCTGGGAGACTACCAGACTTGGCTTCCCAGCAGGCTGTGCGCGCACAGAGCAGGGATTGGATGCTTTTGGCTCTTCAGAACTCTGGGTCTCAGTGGCTTCCACTAGTTGCCTCATTCAGCTATTATCCTGAGGGATAATGATCTACCACTGGCTAGATTTTCCTGAAACCTTGAAACTCTCCTAGGACCACAAATTTCATTTCATTTATCTATGTCTTTGGAACCTCAGGTGTGTTTTCTAGTAAAAAAACAAAAACAAAACAAAAAACCTTAACATCTTAAAAAGAAATCATTAATGTCAGGAACAAAGATTTCTCATTCTATACAGCTAACAGGAGGAAATGAGTACTTAGAAGTTAAAACAGGACAAGTTTTTAGGCGTTATATGAATTTAGGTTGTAATCCTAGGCATACATAACTTTTACCACCTATAGGATTTTTGGCAATTACTTTCCAAGTTGTGGGTTTGGTTTCTCTTAAAATGATATTACTCACTGGACTATTTTTCAGACTAAATGTAAACACAGCATTAGTGCCTGGCACCAAAAGGTCAATGTAATTATGCAGAAGTGCTATTGAAATAGGATAATGCTAATTTGTATTGATCCTGTATCCAGGAATCTTGCTGTACTGTATTATAGATTCTGGTGTTTTTAGTTTCTTGGAATTCTCAGTTTCAAACTATATAACCTAGGAAATAACTTCATTTTGTCCTTTTATTATTATTTCTTTAAGTTTTACAATAAAATGTAGAATATAAGGAATAGTGAGCATACTTGTCTCTAACAGAAAATATTGTTTATAATAAATTCCAAAATTAACATTCCTAGTTTGCTATGATTTTTTTCTTCTCTTGGATGCTGAAACTTAGCAAATGCTGGTCAACACTGAATAAAATGGTACCTCATTCCCAATTATGTTACTCGGTGAAAATTATTAACAGACTCTTTAACATCATGCCATTCCTGAGCTAAATCAAATATCCAAAGATGATTTTGACTGTTCTCAGATATACCACGTTTGATTATGTAGAACATTTGCATCTATATTCACAATTGAAACTGACCATGCTTCCTTTACTTTTCTTAATCAAGATAAGACTAGCTTTCTTAAGTTTTTTTTTATTAATTTATGTGACAAGACACAAGAACCAAGGCAACTTATAGAGGGGTTTGAGACTTACATTTCAGAGCATTAGTGTCCATGATTGTCATGATGAGAACATGGCAGCAGGCAGGCATGGTGCTGAAACAAGCAGTAGCTTAAAGGATACATCTTGATCCACAAGAGGAAGGCCCAGAAAGCTAACTGGAAATGGTACAGGATTTTGAAACTTCAAAGCCCTCCTTCAGTGACATATCTCCTTCAACAAGGCCCCTAATCCTATCAAATAGTTCCAACAGCCGGGGACCAAGCATTCAAATACGTGAATCTATGGTGCCAGTCTCATTCAAACTACAATACTAGCTTTGTAGAATTAGAAGGCGATTCCTCTTTTCTCTGACAAGACTTATGACCACTGGTTACCACATTATTTTAGTGGCTATAATTTATTCACGGTTTTTACTATTTTGAATCAACGGCCATAGTTTTATTGAAAATTACTATTTTAATTACACCTTTAAAGTTGTTGGCACATGATTTATTCAAGTTAAATCTCTTTAGTGCTTTTGTCTTCTTCCGTTCTTAATATTGCCTATGTATTTTTTCTTGTTCTTATGACTACTATTTAAAAGAATTGGCTTTTGGATTTCTTTACTTCATCATTATGTCTTTGGTTTTTGTTTTTTTTCATTTTATCTGCTTGTTACTGTTTCCATTTCCCTCCCCAACTGGGGATTGAAACCAAGATCGCACACATGCTCAGCAAGCATTCTACAACTGAGCAATATCCCCAGCCTGGTCTAGTTTTCCCTTTTTTTAATCCGAAGAGTTAAATATCGGCTTCATTAAGGAGCTGGTTGATCTCATGCCAACTTGACACAGCAAGAGTCATTTGGAAAAAGGATATCTCAATTAAGAAAATTCTCCCACCAGATTGGCCTGTGGTACATTTTCTTAGTGATTGATATGAGACAACCTAGCCCATTGTGTATGGTGACACCCTTGGCAGGTGACCCTGGGGAGTAAGAGTGGCATGATAAGCAGGCCTTGAAGAGCATAACATTAAGTAGCATGCCTCCTTGGCCTCTTCATTAGCTCCTGACTCCAGGTTCCTTCCCTGCCTCCCTTTCACAACAGACTGAAATATAAAGTGTAAGCAAAATAAACCCTTTCCTCCCCAAGTTGCTTTTGGTCATGGTGTCTTATCACAGCAATAAACAATATTACAGCAATAAGACAATATTCAAAGTTTTAGAATTCATACATATGAAGACGTAATAAAGTTCGTTTCAGATATTATTTTATCTAAAATCTTATCCAAATTATCAAAAGCTGAGACAGAAGAGTGAGAAATGAACATTAAAAACACAACCTTTATTACTAGTAACATTAATAAATGACTGATATACTTGTGGATTTGTGATTATTGAACCCCAGATATTAAGTAAATTTACCTAAGCATAGTGTAACTAAAGTCACATTTGAGACTCCTCCTAAAAACTTGTATTAAGAAGGAAGAGAGTGGAATGTATGCAGACTCAGAAGAGAAGTAAAAAGGGGGCCAAATTATCCCCAAATTCACAAAAGTTGGCATTTTCCTTTCAAAGCCAGTAAGCACTTATCTAGGTTTATTTGTTTATATCACCACTTCTTGCATATTATTTCTGGGTTCAGGTTTGTAAATCTTTCAGCAAAAGTCTCTGAATGATGAAGCATTTAAAAATATTATCTCAAAATAACTAGCCATAATTTAGCTGAATATAGTTTTTAGGGCGTGCTAATGATTGGACCCAGGAACCCATGCACACTGAGCACATACTTTACCACTGAGTTATATTCCCAGCCCCTGGAACTAATCGGCAGTATCTCCCTCTCTTCAGAGATCCATTATGAATGAGTTTAAATATTAATCCTTTTAAAGTTTTGAGCTGGTCTGTTTTCCTATTTTGGTATTTCATAATTATGAGTCTGTGTATTTTACCTATTCAGTGAGTGTTTTGTTAACCTTTACTGTTTTTTTTTCAGTTTTAATTTTTTTATTTAAAATAACGGGGTTAGGGGGGAGAGAGCACTGGAATAATGGCTCAGAAGTCAAGAGTGATTGCTGTTCTTCCAGAGGACCTAGGTTGGGTTCACAGCACCAGCTATCAATTTGCTCATAACCAATTGTAATTCTAGTTCCCGAGTACCTGTGCACATTGTAGTGCACATTAACTCATGTAGGTACACACACATTCAGATAAAATAACCTTTAAAAAGAATGGGTTTTATCATGACATTTTCATACACAAGTAACATTGTACTTTGTGTAAATCCACTCTTCATGATGGTTGAGATTCTTAAAAAGTATAAACCATTATTCCTTTCACTGTTGCCTCTCACTCTTTCCTTCCTATTTCTTTTGGATTTATTAGAATCCATGCAGTTTCTCCATTCAATCTTCAGCAATTCTTAGAGCATCTCTTCACACCTGATCTTAATTTCAATTTACCACCTTCAGATATTCTTTTACAGACCTGCTTGCATCTTAATACTGCCTTTCTTAAAATTATAATTAATAATTTTAATATAAATATAAGGAGTCTATTAGAAAAATAAAACCATTCCATGATAAAAACCGATTAAAGGAATTTATGATCACTGAGCCAGCTCTGCACAATGACACTAGGAGAAATACTTAAATCATGACAGTCTTTCAAAAGAGGTCATAGAAAACACCAGAAAATTATGAAAATGACAGGAATGTCAGCAATAACTGAATATTAATGATTTCTATTCACCCAATAAAAAGACAGAAAGTAGCTGACTGGGTCAGAAAATAGGATCTATCTTTTTGCTGCATCCAAGAAGTGCAACTTACCATCAACTATATAGATGAATGGATAGAAAACGGTATTACAAGCATGCACAACTAAGAAACAAGTGGGTATATCGAACATCTGACCGACTAAGCAAAAGCTTGTCAGAGGGGATAAAGCCTCTTCATATTCATGAAACTAATAATATACCAAGAGGATATTATGATTTGAAACATGCATGCAGCAAATAAAGGTGCACCCAATTTCATTTTTAAAAATGTACTCCAACATAGTGATACTGGGTTACTTCAATATTTCAATCTCATCAAAAACAGGTCATCTGAAAAACTAAACAGAGAAACACTGGACCTAGAAGACATCTACAAAACATGGCACCCCAAATTTCAGAATACACATCATATCATCAGCCCATTGAAGTGTCTCCAAAATTGGTCAAATATTTCGGACATGAATCAAGTCTCAACAAATACAGAAAACAAATAACATCCTGCATTCTATCTGATGCAATGGATTAACAGTTAGATGCCAACAGCAAGAGAAATTGGAGAGCACACATACAAACTCATTCAGACTACATATACAATTGAATGATGGGTCACTAGTGAAATAAAAAAATTTAAATCCTAGAAATGAATGAAAATTAAAACAAAATAAACCAAAGTGTATGAGGCATGATGAAGTCAGTCCTAACAGGAAAATTTATAGTGCTGAGTTGCTACACCAAGAAATCTGAGAAATCCAAAAAGAACAGTAATGAGCCTGGAGGCCCTAGAAAAACAAAGGCAAACAATACTTCAAAAGAGCAGATGAAGCAATATTTCAAAATTAGAGGTAAAATTAATGAAATAGAAACAAAAACAAGAATCAGTGAAACAAGGAGTTGGTTCTTTGAAAGATTAACCAGACTGGCAAACCTTCAGCCAATTAACTGAGGGAATAAGAAAAGGAGAGAGAAAAAGGGAAAGAGGAAGGGAGGGAGGGGGACATGAGAGAGATAGGAAAAGAAAGAGTGAGCATGCAAACCCAAATCAATGGAATACAATTAGGGACAGAGATATATAAGCCTTTGCTCCTATGCC